AATACAATTAAAATGTGAGAATTGTCTCAATTCCTAAGCTAAGTGAACTTGGCTAAGACAATAAAAGAACAACTAAAGCAAACTTAGAAGGCTAACCACGAACAGGTTCTCAACGCCAGCATCCGTTTGGTTTGTGGAAAATAATCCTATGTTTGAATATGTTTTCTATAAAAAATATTTTTTTAAGAAGACATTTTCTAGTGTTTAGAAGATTTTGAAAAAATTATTTTTGCTCTTGTTTGGTTTCATTGGAAAATCTTCGAAGTTTACTAACCTCAACCTTTTGGTAGTCTTCCGATGAAAACATTTATTAGTTGTATGATCTATCAAAAGACAATAATGCCCTAAATAAGTTAGGGAATGAGGATGCGTGAAAATTTATTAATATTATTTTTGCCTTTTTTTAGGTTAAATTCTAAATGTGGTCCCTCAACTTTAGTGAGTTGCACATTTTTGGTCCCTCAATAATTTTTTGCACTTTTTTGATCCCTCAACTCTAAAAAATGCACACTATTAGTCCTTCTGTTAATTTAGACTGTTAACTCCGCCATGTGGCATTTTTTATATTTTTTTTATGACATGGCGAAAACAACTTTAAAAAGTGTTGATTTGGCATTTTTTTTGATGACAGGTTAGTGCCAACTCATAAACTAATTAGTATTTATATTTTTAATAAAAAAAATAAAAAAATTCGATCCATCTTCTTCCTTTCTTTTTCCTTTTTCTTTCTTCCTCTTCTTTCTTCCTCTTCTTCCTCTATGTTGCTGGGTTCAAGGGAACTCAGCTCAGGCTCGATGGAACCCATCTGCTGGGTTCCACCGAACCCAGCTCGAGTTCGATGGAACCCATTTGTTGGGCTCGATCGAACCCAGCTCCACTTTTTTTTGTTATATGTTTGTTTGCGAGAGATTATCCAAATTGCAGGTTGTGAAGGATTTTTAGGATCCTTTTTTTCATATTTTTTAAGTATTGTCTAAATGATTTCAATGTTCAAAATGAAAAGAACATCGTCGGCGATGGAAAAAACAGAAACAGTGACCGATGGGTAAAGAAGCAATTCTTATTGGGTTTTCATTTGTTTGGCTGGAAAATTGTATAGTTTGGGTGTTTGGATGCTGAGAAAATGCTTTGAATCTGTTTGGATACCGAGATTGGTTATCGAAAAAACTATAATGTCCGTTAAAGAAAAAAATTTGATAAGAAAATTGTGATTTAATTATAAATTAATTTAAAATCTCAATTTTGATTAATATCAATAATTATAGTTTAATAATGATTAATTAATGAAATTTGATTTGATATTATTTTTTTTCATGTAAACATTTAATTTAATTTGTTATATTATTAAAAAAATATAAAAAATATCACTTAATTTGCCATGTCATCAAAAGATATCTTTCTTTATTGGTGATGTGGGACCCATTTGAGTGGATTTGGTGTCATGTCATCAAAAGGCATATTTCTTTATTAGTGATATGGGGTCCATTTGAGTGGATTTGACGCCTTTGACTCACGATAATATGATATGTCAAAACGTTTGTCCATATCATCACTTTTTTAAATTTTGCTCTTCACATCATAAAAAAAAAAAAGGCCATATAAGTGGAGTTAACTACCCAAATTAACAGAAGGATTAACGGTGTGCATTTCTTATAATTGAGAGATCAAAAAAGTGTAAAAAATTGTTGAGAGATCAAAAATGTGCATTTTTTAAAGTTGAAAAACCAAATTTAGCATTTAACCTTTTTCTTAATGGAAAATACAAAGCAATATACAAGTGTGTGTGTATCAAGTATAAATTTAGCTACTAAAACCAGAAAAAACTAGGGAAAATCTAGATTTACAAGAGCTCATTTGAGCTCTAATCTCTAAATTCTTAACTAATTAATTTGAGACATTGATAAATTTTTTTATTTTGAATAAAAAAACATAAATTGGATGGCCAACAAACCATTAATCTTTTAATTTTTATTAGATTAATACATACAATTATAAAATTAGTGTACATTATCTTACCTGTGACTTAAAAATATAAATTAAATGTATTTATAATATTTTTTATATATTAATTTATATAAAAAATAAAAAAATTATTGGCATTAATTTTAACACTATAAATAATTTTATGTTTATTATTTATAGTGTAAAATCCGGCTAAAGCTTGTAAAATGACACTAAGGGGGACCCTTAATTGATCCAGTTTTCTCATGGGATTGGAAAGCATAACCAGGAGAAAGGTGAAGGTAATGATGCTGCGTCATTGGGTAGTTTTATTTTGACTATGTTGATTGTGTTATCTTACATGCTTTAACTGTCTTGTTTTGTAAAGGACAGAGTACCCTTTGCACTCTATTTTAATAATATTTTTTTTATTGATAAAAAATAATAATAATAATTTTAATTAAACAAACAATATAATTATTACTAATTTTTATTTTTTTTGGTAGAAAATAATTTTTAATTTTTTAAATATATAAAAGACACAATAAATGTACTTTAAATTATATATACCATATACCACAGACTAGAAAGTTGAAACACTAGTTGGGATTCCTAAAAACTATATTTCAAAATTCGTACTAGCTTGCAGCTTCTAATAGCTTGGGTTGAAGCTCGAAATTACATTGAAAAGACATATGTGCACACGTGGCAACACCCTAGTGGAGGAAATCATGAACTATTGCCACAACCTCATATGAGGTAATTCTTTGAAAAAAGAAAAACAAAAATCAAAGGGAATTGTAGTTTCTTCAAATCCTTATACATCTCTATTCTTCTTCCTCCTAAAATTCAGCTGCTGCAGTAGTTATTTCTTCACCTACTAAGGAGGTGATTTTCCGGAAAAGTCTTCTTGCATTTTTTTGTTGACTGAAGTTATTTTCCTTTAACCAATTTTCCAAATGACATCCAAACACTAGAAAACACGCAAAATATTTTTTTTTTTGGAAGTGATTTTCCATGAACCAAAAGGATAAGCCTGTGAGTTGTGCTGAAAAATATATTGATTGCACTAGGCAAGTTCGTGAGAGGGGCAAACCCAAACTGATTATTGTCGAGGGAGATAGCATTTCTCCACTTCTGCAACTGACAGTTACTAGTCCCAGCCCACGGTAAAAACACGTGGTGCATGCGGGTGCATGTTTGGTGCTATCAAAAGTTTTTAATTGTATCAACATTATAATTTATAAAAATTATTATAATTTTTTATAAATTAATTTTTTATTTATTTCATTATAAATTTTAAAAACATTGAATTGGTGTTTTTACAACAAAATTTTATTTAAATTTTAATAAAATTAATATATTATTTTTATTTTTTCTTTATTTTTTCTTTTATTTACAAAAATAACCTTTTTATAATAATTTTTTTTTAACAAAACTCCTATTAAAAATTTCAATTACACTAATAAGGCACGTAATCTTGTCCGGAGAGTATTATTCCCAGACTTGCTGCCTTGAGATGATGACGTGGCAAATTCTCAACCATTTGTTAACTCTTTTAGACACATGGAGGCTCTTAATTTGCTGTTATTCCAAAGAATTTAACTTGTTTATTTCAGGCAAAACTTGTGTCTATATGTGATTGAGTAAAATTTTGCAAAAACTTGTCTTTTTTCCTTAAAAAAAATAAAATTTGGGTTAGATTTTGAGACCTAACCTAGAACATTTTACTTTCATTATAAAAAAAATTATTATTAAGTTACTTAGCTCATTTAATATATCAAAAGTTATATATTTAATAATGTAAGTTTAACAAATCTAATTTCATTTTCGTTATAATTTATGCAAGACTATGTTTTTATTTTTTTTTTTGCCATCTATGCAGGAATATGTTTGTTACAAATGATTTTTCACCTCTATCTATTCCAAAAGGAAAATCTCTGAGAGTTGTTTCCTGGATCCATAAGAGAGTACTTGTCAATTGTTATTAAAAGTTTAACATTCATAGAAAAAGCTAGAACTACGAAACGAATGGGAAGAAGCTCCATGAAAGAGAAAATTGGGAAGGTTATCCAACTTCAAAATTTTAACATAAAATTGGTTCCACACTGCAACCTACTTGGCATTAGGTTAAAACCCGACATTGACTCTAAATTAAGGTTTCATTGTCATGATTAAATGCTCAATAAAAGGGACCAAAAAAAGGATTAGCCGAGTTTATAACTGCTAACAAATGAATGTCGCTTCCTTCAAGGAGCATGTGTTGGAGGAGCACCATTGTAAACAAAAAATAAGTGAATATCTTGATTAGTTGATTTGGAAAAAAATCTTAACCTCAAAATTTAGTAATTGCAGATAAGAAAAACAATACAAGGATAAACAACAAAAAGTACAATCTCTACATGTGAGAATGTCCAACTCCATCCAATTGTGATAGGTAACACCCAAAATTAAGTTTCCTCATTTTATAGTTCATATGATATCCCATTCTTTCTATAGTCAGAAGGTAAGAAGCAACAGAATTATGAAAAGCCAAAAATTCATATCTTGAAAGCTTTCACCAAACTAAGCATATCCCTAGTTGCCCTTTTTATGCCCTGGCCAAAAACTCTTCCAAATGATAGTTTTAATTCTTTTACAATCAGAGGCTTCTGTTTGAAAATCTCTCATTTTCCTATTTAAAAAACTACTCCCGAGGTCAATCAGCCACATAACCCAATATCCTAATATAGTGAAGGCATAATCCACCATAAATCATACAAGGGGATGTGGAATTGCTCAGAGCACTGCAATTCCGAGAAACTGAAAATTTGAAATTAAGCATTCTTTTCTCTCTCAATAAATCAGATAATCCCTATTACCATCCTTAGTTGCTGATAATATAGCATCACATGCACAAGTCAGCCATGAAAATTGACAACAAAATTGATCCTTGTCAAAAGCTTAACTTAAATTAAATACAAAGTAATTGCCAAGAAATTCTGCTAGCATCATATACAAGACTACAACGTTCAACACAGTTGCAGAAAGCTATAATCAGCATGAAATTAACTTGTAACAAAATTGAACTGATTTTGTTTTAACTGTGCTCAAGCATCTCCAGGAATCAGAAAATCAATCAACTTCAGCACATGTGTATAAGGGAGCCCTATAATCGCCTTAAAATACTAAATGAACTTTATTCTTGGAAAATTAGCATCAAAATGATGTGATCCAGAACCTCTCCTTGAGAATAGTACCCAACAACTGTTAGATTCTAAGAGTTATTATGGCTTCTTGTCAATCCAACAATAAAGGATGCACCTCTTTGCAGGATAAGGCTCAGTATATTTGGAAGCCAGGAAAAAAATCATATAAAGTGCAGAAGCATAACATCAAATGTCAAAAACTGCTTATATAGTTAACATGAAATTAGACAACAGTATTGATTATCACATCTAATCCTAATTCGAACCTTTCTCCTTGCTTTCATTGCCAACAGCATCTGTCACCAGAGATATTGGTCTTTGATCAATAACTTCGTCAATTATACCAAACTCCTTAGCCTCTTCTGGGGTCATAAAATAATCCCTATCCATGTTTTTCTGAATTATCTCTACTGGTTGCCCTGTGTGTTTTGAATATATCTCATTCAGTTTATCCCAAACACGAACAATCTGCTTTGTATGAATTGTCATATCCTTTGCCTGCCCACTGTAGCCACCTGAAGGCTGATGAATCATAACCGTTGCATTTGGGAGTGCCCGTCTCTCACCCTTAGCACCAGCAGCAAGGAGTAGAGATGCCATTGACGCTGCTTGACCCAAACAAATTGTATTGATAGGAGACCGGATGTATTGCATTGTATCATAAATTGCAAGGCCTATATCAAACAACACAAAATTAAAAACTGTTGATATCAAAGCATTACCACTTCAACTTTCAATATAAAAAAATAATAATTTTGATAAGGTGTGGTCATGGTATACCATTATGCAATACCATTCCAAGATCGATTAACATCATTGCAGTGAACAAGCAACTCATCTGAAATGCTGCTTATAACAGCCAATCTCACCAACATTGTAATCTAGCTTACTTCTAGGCTCTAGCTCTCCGGCAACAAGGCATTCACTAAAATTAAAGGTAATATAAATTGAAGGACTCCTATTAACTAAGAATCCATGATTATCTAAGCCATAAATTTATAACTTAAGGAATAAATTAATTAACTTAAACAAGAGCAACATAAACCAGACCCGAAAATTGTACCGGACCAAAACATCCAAGAAAAGAAAAATGAAAATCTATACCACCCAAATGAGAACAACACTACCAGAAATAGATCAAATTGACAGAACGGAAAGAGAAAAATACCTGCGGTGACTTGGCCTCCAGGGGAATTGAGGTACATGTGTATTGGTTTGGAGGGGTTCTCGGACTCGAGGAAGAGGAGCTGGGCAACAACCACATGGGCGGTGTCGTCGTTAATGGGTCCGTTAATGCAAACGATTCTCTCCTTGAGCAGGCGGGAGAAAATGTCGTACGCTCTCTCCCCTCGAGACGAGTGCTCTATCACCATCGGTATCAGGCTGTAGTCGCGGCGACTGAAACACAAGAAGTTACTTCCGGTGCCGGCGATGAGCCTTCTGGTGCTTGAGATTAGACCCCTCATGGCTGGCTCTTGCAGAGACTGAGTTAGGGTTTCGGATTCAGGGAGGTGGGAGAGATGCGAAAGAGAACGAATTTTACGGGATTTCTTCCGGCTAAAACCAACTTTTAGCCCCTTACCTTATAAAATTGATAGGTTTTGGCCCTTAACCTTATAATATGACACTTTTAGCCCATTACCTTACAAAATTATAGGTTTTAACCCCTCACGTTACAAAGTTGGTAGGTTTTGCCCATTACCTTATATTATGACACTTTTAACCCCTTATCTATACGAATTGAAGAAAATAGCCCCTATTTAATATGAGGTTATAATGTTCTATTAGTTTTGTTAGTTAATTATCAGTTCTGTTAGCTGACTATTAGTTCTATTAGTTGATTGTTAGCATCCATTAGCATTCGTTAGCATTTCGTTAATGGAACTAATAAATAAAATTGAATTTAAATTTCATATTTTTTATAACGGAATGCTAACAGATATTAATAGTCAACTAATAGAACTAACAGAACGTTAATCCTAATGTTAGATGAGGGCTATTTTTTTTTAATTCGTATCGATGAGGAGTTAAAAATATCATAATATAAAATAAGGGATTAAAACCTACCAATTTTATAAGGTGAGGGGTTAAAACTTACCAACTTTGTAAGATAAAGGACTAAAACTGTTATTGTAGGCATTAAAAAAATGTCAAAATTAAAATATATTTGCCCTAGTAAAAATCTTGAAAATTAGGGTAATAAATCTTTAAAGAGATATTTTCTCTTTAATTTAAAATAAATAAATAAATATATTAAAATGACCAAATTATCCTTAAAGTGAAGGGTATTTGAGGTCATTTGGCAAAATTCCTTTGCCTATAAATTGGCCATCATTTGATGAAGAAAAAAAAGAAAGGGAGGAGGGAGGAAGAAGGAAGAAGGAGAAAAGGAAAGGAACCACGAGCTTCAAGCTCCCTCAACAATTCTCAAAGTTTCAAGCCTCAACCTCCTGCCAAGGGTAAGCTCCAAATCCATGTCAAGGAGGAAAAGTTTCAAGTGCAAGTCTTAAATCCCTTAAAGGACAAGAACAAGCTTAAGCCCTTGCCCTTCTAAAATTCAATTGTTAATTAGAGGATCGTGCTGTTCTAAAACGTATTACTCTTCAAAGTCTAAGCACGTGCACTGCAGCACTCCAAATCAAAGATTGTTTCCTATTTTTCTTCAAGTTTATAATAATTTGTATTTATTTTGCAAATCAATACATATTATTTGATTTTGCAGATTTTGTGACTACAGTTATATTGTAAGGTGAGGAGCTAAAACCTACCAATTTTGTAAGATGAAAGGCTAAATGTTGGTTTTTGCCATTTCTTCCGAGGTCAACCTTTTACAGTTTGGACGAAAATGCCTGGCCAGCCCTTTACTTTACTAATTACGAAAGTGTCAACCCCTCAACTTACAATATAAAAATTTTAACTTTTTATCGTTTTATTTTAAATGAAAAAATCCAAAATGGATAATAACGTTAAAATATCATTACCCATTGCCATGTTAGCACCAAGGTGGCAATTCCTTACCATCTTGATTGCCACCGTAGATAATGAAATTTTATTACTTATCATGGACTGCCACCATAGCAATTCGTTTCCATTACTATGTTAGGGATACAATTTTTCACTTTTATTAGACCTAGTAAAATTGGACCAATTTTGAAAATTAGAACCAACTCATTCACTATGGATGGGATCATGAGTCTAAGATATCAATTTAAAATTAGATATAACCTACACCAAAATCACTCAAACTTGACTAGGTTGGGTTAGGTTGGGTCAGGTCAACTTGAAGTGACCCGATTAAATTTAATTAAATTTAAAATTTAATTAATTATACTTTTAATTTTAATTTTTAAATATAAAATTAAATTAAATTTTATAAAATGATTATTATTTATTAGATTATTAGCATTAATATTAATTTAAAAGATTTTTTTGACTAAATAATTAATTAATATTAAGTTTTATTAAAGAAAAATAAAGAAAATATTAAATATTAAAAATTTTAAATTTTAAATTTAATTTTTTTTAAAGATGCATCTATTTAACTGAATTTGAAATCAATGTGGGAGGGTCATGGATCTACTCATATAATTTGAAATTTGAAATGACTAAACTTGATAAATTCAAAATCTGAAGTGACTCAATTCAAACCTACTCAATCCAAAATGTTTGTCGGGTCTAGTTTTTATTGTCCACATGGCACTAACATAGCAAAGGGTAATGAAATTTTAACTAGCAAATGGTGCTACCATCCACTTTGGGGTTTTTCATTTCGGTTGAGAATATAAGGGGTTAAAACTTTCATGTTGTAAGTTGAGGAGCTAATACTTTTATAGTCAGTAAGATGGAGGGTTAGCCATGAATTTCTGTCTTAAAGTTTGTACTAAGGCGCTTAAAAAATGACAAAATGTATTATTCAGCCTTCAAACTTACCCTATATTAATGCATGAGCCCTAAAATTTAAAAACGTGCATTTAATTCCTTAAGCCTAATAACTGATGCAAAATAGCCCCTTAGTAAACAGATTTCTACACGCGCCGTTATGTGATAGAAGTCAAGTGTGGTTATTGTTACAAAAAAAATATTATAGCCGTCTAAATATATTATTTTTTGTTTAGTTATGATATTTAAATATTTAAATATGGCAATTAATTTTAGTCTATTAATTAATAAATATGAATTATTTTCTTAATTATAATATAATAACTATCATTATCAACTATTTTTAACCATTAATCAAATAAAATTAATATTTTAAAAATAAATATTAAAAAAATGATTGGGTCCAATACTTTATAAGTGGCATTAACCTCACCCCCAACACCCACTCCTTCTGAGGTTTCTGCGGCACATTTTATCATGGAATCTTCTCAAAGTCAAATTAACAATTATTTGGCTGATGTGGTACCCTAAATAGTTGAGAATTTCTTCTCTCTTTATCCAAAATTTGAAAAAAATTTATTCATCCCATCATTTTCTTACCAACCAATGAGCCATCATTTTCTCCATAATCCTATAACTAAATTTTTATAGGTTTTTTTTTTTTTTTTAATTTATGTAATCAATGCATCTTTTAAGCGTGTGTTTGTTTAATATATACTTTTAAGAGTGTATTAATGATATTTTTTTATCAATTAATTTATATGAAAAAATATAAAATTGACTTTATTTTTGACACCAATGATACATATACAATTTTTATTGGGTGTTTAATAAAATTGAAGTCAATGTTTTTTTTAATAATTAATGAAAAAATACAATTAACACAAATTTAAGGCACAATTTTATATAGAAAAAATAAATTTTTAATTTAATTTTAACAACTAATTAATTAAATTAATACACATAACATTGTTGTTAAAATTAATATTAACTTTTTTATTTTTCATATGACTTAATACTAGCTAAAAAATGTATTAATTACATTTTTAAAGCACAAGTGAAGAAAACTCATTTTTGTTAAGGGTTTGTTTAATCTTTGTCTTTAGAGTTTGGGTTAAAAATACTTTTTTATTATAAATTTGTGTAAAAATATAAAACCTAACGTTAGTTTTAGTATCATTAACATGTGTATAAATTCAATTAGATAGTTGATAAATTAAAGGTCAACTTTTGATTTTTTTAACACAAATTTATAATAAAAAGACATATTTATTATATTCTTATCTTGTGGCCTAGAAAAACCCTTTCATGAATGACTTTGTATAATTAATTGATAAATGATCTAAATTTAAGACATAACTAAAGGGGATGTTTGGCAAAACTTAAAAAGAAATTGTTCTAAAAGCACTATTCTCACTCTCAAATTTAAAATATTGTTGGAGGGAAACACTTAAAATCAACATTTCAAGTGAGTTTTAAGTAAGTTTTGAAAAAACTATATGTTTACACCATAAATTGCAAAATTTAAGAAAATACCATGTGTCTTTTTTTTTTTTTTTAATGGATGGATGAGATGTTGTTATGTAAAATTTGTTGTTTGGACCCTTGACAGATTACTTACCACATGGAATGTGGAGTTTAAATAGATGAGGATTATCCATTAGTTACCTATTTGAATTGAAGTGGACTTGTTATTGCTATATTTAAGGAAGTGATTCGGTTGAGAGATTGAGATGGCAAATAACAAGGACAATTGGTGAGACTTGGAAAGAGTTCTAATCTAGTCCATTACTGAGGTATCCATCTTCTCCAAGAAACTACCTATGTTGTGTAACTACTAGGTAGTGGGGAGTTTTAGGCTCATGGGAAACAAATAGAAGTAAAATTTTCTAATCATTCAACACATGGCCAACCCTACACATAATCTAAAGCTAGTTTTAACACTCTTAGGTCTTGTTAGCCATTGCTCACTTTAGCTTATAGATTTTAATTTTCAACATAATTCCTAGTAGATTTAGGTTGTTTTTAGCATTTCAATAGCGAAATTAGTTTGTGTCGTTGCTTCAGCGATTTCCTTTTGCATAATGAACAGCATGCTTTTAAATTTCTATAAGGTATTTTTTTTTTTTTTTTTAACTGGTATTTGTTTAAGGCATTGTTTTAAAAATCAAACTGAATTGGTTGGTCGAACCGATCAAACCAATACTTGCTAACATAACGGGTCAAGTGGATATCTGAAATTGGTAGGGGTTTTAATCGTTCAAAACCAACAAAATCATTTGAACCAATGCAAATTGCTAAACCATTCAACCAAACAATTTAAAGTTTATGGTAAAATTTTCATTAGATTTGCCACCTCCAGGGTTCGAACACACGACTTCAAGGAAATTTTAAACAACTTTTCCCATTAGAGCATCACACTTGAAGTTGACATGATTTGATTGAAACTTTATTTATTTTATTTTTAAGAAGAAAAAATTGAAAATACCATCCAAGGGAATCGAACTTCTCTCCCCTTGATAAAGGGTGAAGGCCCTCCACTTGATGTGGAGAGCAATAGTTGTTAAGTTAATATATTATAGATTAGAAACATAATAATATAAAATTTGATATCGTGTGGATTCAAACTTGCTATCTTTCTAACACTACCACCTAGTAAAACCAGTATTACAAATTTACTGATATGTGTTGCATAATGTTATATTTATTCATATTCAATTGAACCAGTAGTTTGATCAATCTAATTGATTAAACTGCCAAATTGAGAACCATAGGTCAAAACAGTTTGACCTTTGGTTCGATTTTCAAAACATTAGTTTAAGGTTTCTCCAAATGATTACTTATATGGTGTTCATGCTTTTTTTTAGCTTTTGGCATGTTAGTTTAATCTCTTTTCATATCAGTTTCATGATCATTTAGGACTAAATTTCTAGTTTTGCAAGAATTTAATTTCCAATTCTATCAGTAGATCATAGTTTAATTTGGCAATGATCATGGTTAGTTTAACTTGGATGCATATTTTGTTTGTAAGTATACTTTGATTTGCATTTCTTTTTATTCACTTAGGATCTGTTAATTTTAATTTACGGTAGTGTTTAAGTTCTTGGAGTTGTTCAAGGCAAATTTAGCAACTTATTCTATAAGAAGGCATCTCTTTTTCTTACAAATAATTTAATGACATAGATTACAATTTTAAACCAACATTCTTCTAGTCATCAATATGAAGGTTGATAGTGAGGAATGAGAAGATTGTTAGAAAATTATTTTTTCTTACTTTGCAAAAAAGCAAGTGGCATGTGCCTCACATTTAGATTTGCCACATGTGATGCCACTTTAGTATTTTTAAGGAGACACTAGCCATCCAAGCTTTTTCAAAACTCTACACATTCAAGTTTTTTCAAAACTTATTTAAAATCTACTTTAAAGATAATTTTTAAATTTTTGTTGATAAAATTTTAAATTTGTGAGATAAATAGTGTTTTTAAAGCAAATGATTTTTAAACATTGCCAAACTCACTCAAAATCTTATTTTCACATCAGCAATGATATGCAAAAAGAATGCCACGCAAGTAAAAAAGAAACAGAAGTTAGTGTCATGTGACAAGTGTCATGTGACAACGTTGCAGAAATTCGTTAATTGAGAAGCTAATTTGCATCGATCACAAAGTTTGAGGGCTTAGATGCACGTATTTTAGTTTAAGGGCTTATATGTTAATATGGGTAAGTTTGGGGGCTTAATATTGAGTTTTGTCTTTCATTTTCATTTTCATTTTTTTTATATGGACCGCATTTTTAATAAAATATACAGTTTATATATCGAAATTAGTACCTTACGTTTGATGAATAAGTACAAAAAAGAGTTTCATTAAAAATATTTTAATAATTTAGTATTTAATCTATACTTTTTTTTTTTTTTTGGTTTCCCGCCCGGTATTCGGGGTTTCGCCCTGACTACTTCAGACTCGACCAGCTGTGGCGCACCAGAATGGTGGGTTGGTCTCCCAACGAAGGCTGCTGCGTACACAAGGTTTCGAACTCGAGATCTTGCTTAAGCTGAAACAAGCCGCTTGCTACTTGATCCAACCCTTCGTTGGTATTTAATCTATACTTTTATTATGCAACCAACTTATATTTCTTTTTTGAAAAAAAGAAAGGAGTTTTATATTTCTTTTAAAAAAAAGTTTTCTAGAGTGGATTGAGAGGAGGGAATGGGAGGGGAAGGGGGAGAAAATTCTTAATTTAGTTATAAACTTTGGAAGGGAAGGGGAAGGGGAAGGGGAAGCGGAAAGGGGGAGAAAATTCTTAATTTAGTTATAAAAAAAAGTTAGAGAGGAAGCGATGGAAAACAAATTTTTTTTCTTCTAATTTAGTTATTTATCCAAATGAGAGAAAGAGAAGGGAGGAAAATGGAGAGATGTAATTTTCTTCCCTCCCATTCCCTCCCCTCCACTCCACTCAATCCAAATATGGGCTAAATTAATTTGAATTTATCAAGAGTTGATTAAGTTAACTTCAAGTAATTAAGATAAATAATTAATTTTAATTGATACTAATTAATCAAGATTGATCACTTTAATGGCATAAAAAATAATAAATAATAATAAATAAATAATCAACATTTCTGAGTTTTGTAGTGGCCCTTCTCCTTCTAAATGTGTTTCAGTTTAGCCCTCAATCCCTAGTTCATTCGAAACGTGTCTTAAAGGTTTCTAAATTTGTTCACTCTAGTCCTTTACTTTTAATATGTTCCAATTTACCATCCTTATTTCTGATGTCATTCAATTGAGTCCAAGATTTTTAAAGAAATCTTTCAATCTCATCCAACCTTCCTAAGATAGATTAATTAGTGCCTAAAATAAAAATAAAAATAAAAAAAAGCCAAAATAAACTATATGGAACTATGTTTGATACATAGAATTGGCAAGTGCGCGTATATCTTTTTTCATTCCCAATCATACCCTTGAACCTTGATTCTCATAAATGACTAGTGACCTACTCTCCACCTTTAGTTGCACAAGTGGTGATTTAAATTTCTCTAACATTAAAATTTAAAACTTATATTTTCAAATTTAATTCATTTTAAAATTTTAAGTGGGATGTCAACACATATTATTGCCCATTTTTTCCGTTATTGGATCCATAGAGACATTTAATGCTAAAGCTTTCTCTTTTTGTAAAAAACATACTATTTATTTGTACCTCAATATGAATCAAATAGAAAAGCGAATTGATTAATTTTTTGTTAAATTTTTTGATAAATTGAAGAGGTTCAAGTTTTGCTTTTTATATTTAAAAAGCTAGCACTTCGTGGGTTTTATGTTCCATAATCTCGTGGGGCTATTTATATCCAGCCAATTAAAAATTCTCATGTGCAGTAGTACTAGCAAATATATCAAAGATTTTTGACAATATAAGCCACTTCAAATAGGTTCATTGCCAAAATTATATATTAATTCTAACTTGGGGGAATGCACATTGTCGATGTGTACTATTTACCTGAATTTACATATGATAATGTTTATCTCTTATTGAAAAACAAGCCATTTGATAATATCTGGTCGCTGATCATTGATGAATTCTAGCTAAATTGACTTTGGAAGAGAAAATACATTTACTGACTAAAATTTTGGTTTTATTTGTCAATTATATATATATTTTTATCTTTTATTATCTAAAAAATATATAAAAATATTAATTAAAAGAGATTAATATATATTAATCT